CTAGCCCATATATATATATATATATATATATATTACTAACTAAATATATGCTTTCAAATTTTATACAATTGCATTACTTTGTGCAAACTATGTATATGTATATGGCCGAACATGCTAGATGATTAAACAAACAAACAAGAAAAAACAAAGAAGTGATGGATCTAGAAGAACTGATCATATATATTTGACCAACCAAAAGAAAGAAGGTATTTAAAAACACATACACTGAACATTTCACTGTCTCTACATGCATGGAAGCCAATAATTCATCTTGTGTGACCCATGTATCATATATGAACGATCGACAATACATAGGGAATCGAATCTCTCTATCACAAATTTAATCAGAGGACCCTGCAATGTTTATATGTACAGTGCATAATTAAAAGAAAAGGAAACTGCATGCAATATATTGATGTACGATGGAGACATGGACGATTCAAATCGATCCATGCCGGGACCTCATGAGAGTGATGAGTCTTATTCAAATATTTTCCAGTGGCTTGACTTCCAAGATGTTAACATTCTTGGAAACCTGTCACATACGCAATCTTACATCCTTTTTTGATAGACAGAGCGAAATCGAGAGCGAAAGAAGAGGAGGAAAAGGGGAAGGGGAAGGGGGGGAATCTTTCAAGGGTTTTTTTTGGAACTCAAATATTAGGGCTTTTTGGAGTTTGAATGTTAGTTTGAGAGTAAGAAACAAATAAGGCAGACTCAAAGTCGACAACAACAAAATAGTACAATAATATGTGCATACAATATTCTTTACAGTATTTTTTGATGGGCTAATGAAAAAAACGTTAGTTTGAGAGTAATTAAGAAGTACTTTTTCTACATATACGTACTTTACAGAAGTATTATCCTACTTATTTTTTTCTACTTCCAAAAGTGTGTGTGTGTGTGTTTTTTTTTTTTTGAACAAACGATATTATCTACACTAAGGGGGTGTATTCAATTAAGATTTTGAGGGATTTTAATTTTTTTAATGAATCTAGGGGTATTCAATCAGGAAATTAAGTGATTCTATGAAATTTAATATGTATTCAATCAGGATTTTAAGATAGTTTATTAAAATCCTTAGAAATCCGGATATTCAATCAGGATTTTAAGATAATTTATTAAAATCCTTAGAATACCGGATGTATTCAATTAAGATTTTAAAGAAGTTTATAACGTTCCAGGTATATTCAATTAGAATTTGACAAAGTTGAGGAATTAGCGGGAATTGGAGAGATTTTATAGTGTATTTTAAGCATCCACAAATCACACCTCTCCCCAAGAGATTTTGAGGGAATTGAATCAAAATTTTACATGGAATCTCTACAAATCAATTAGACTCCATAAAATCCATGGATTTATAAATCCATTAAAATCTCTCAAATTTCCAATTGAATACACCCCCTTAAGTGAGAATTGGTGAGATTAGTCTCATAATAGATTAATAATAATGTCGTTCAAATTCATCTTTGGTGAAAATCCAACCTAAGACCTCTCACTTACAAGTGAGGAGGAATATGACTGGACCGTAGTGCCAAGTGGCCAAAATGTGTGTAACTACTTAATCCTACATATTTAATTAAATAAGAGAACTACTATTGACACTTAAAAATCTAATTGTGCACTCTTATTTTTCTTTCTAAATGTAAAAAGTTTAGAGTGCACAATTAAATTTTTAGAGAGCTAATAACAATTCTCATTTAATTATGGGTAAATTACATTTTACCCTCTTAGGTTTGGGGTTGATTTCAATTCCTTACAACATCTTTAAAATATTTCAATTTCATTCATTTACTTATCATTTTATTTCAATTTCATACAGCCGTTAGAAAATCTATTAAGTTAACCTGTTATGTGATGATGTGGCAAATATGGGGTCCCCATTTGTGATGACGTGGCTGCCACATTTGTGTCATATGGCTAAACACTAAATAAAAATAATTAAATATTAAAATAATTAACTAAAGAAAAGTAAAACAAAAAACAAAAAACAAAAAAAAACCCAAAAATCATCTTCCCCTACCCACCCCCTTCTCCCATCCATCGTCACACACCCCAAAAATCCGACCTGAGCCCACCCCCTTCTCCCATCCCCATCATCCCTCCCAAAAATCCCACCCGAGCCCACCCCCTTCATCGGTGGGACCTACACCTGACCAGCCGGAGTTCGAACTCGACTCCTCCGCCATCGTCTTTTGTGGCAAAACCATTGACGGAATTGATTTTCCCCAATACCCAAAGTTGGTGCAGAGGGACCTGCGAAAAGGCCTCTTCCTCTTCAAGAACAACTCCATCAAACGAGATTAGGGTTAAAGAGAGAGAGAAGAAGAAGAAGAAGAAGAAGAAGAAGAAGAAGAAGAAGAAGAGCGGAGGAAGAAGCTTGGATGGAGGGGGTGGGCTCGGGTGGAATTTTTGGGGGTGGGTGATGCGGGATGGGAAAAGGGGGTGGGATTTTTGGGTGGGTGATGATGGATGGGAGAAGGGGTGGGTCGGGGAAGACGATTTCTGGGTTGTTTTTTTGTTTTACTTTTCTTTAGTTAATTATTTTAATATTTTAAAATTTTTATTAAGTGTTTAGCCATGTGCCACAAATGTGGAAGCTACGTCATTACAAATGGGGACCCTATATTTGTCACATCATCACTTAACAGTTAACTTAACAGATTTTCTAATGGTTGTATGATATTGAAATAAAATGATAAGTAAATGTATGAAATTGAAATGTTTTAAAGATATTGTAAGGACTTGAAATCGACCCCAACCTAAAGATCTTGTTTTGCACTTTTTACAAATATATATATATATATATATATTTTTTTTTTTAAATATAAAATGTTTGAAGGGTATAATGAGAATTTTAAAATACTAATAACAATTTCTCATTTTGCTGATAAGAATAATTAATAATTTTGCCAGTGTTCAGTGATGAAAGAATGTGCATCAAATAAAAATTTAAACAAAGAACAAAAAGTTAGCAAATAAGAGTCCACATGTTTTCTGCAATACTTGAATTTTATGGGGCATCCAAAGATTTCGAACCCTAAATCTAATGTAATTATGCCGATCATTTTATTTACTCTCACCACTAGACTAACTCTAGTGACTTACATAATATTTGCTTTCAGTTGTGCAATGCCAATCAATACATATCTTATTATGATGTTCCCAATACCAACCAATACATATCTTATCATGATGTTACCAATACATGTCTTATTATCAAGTTTTAGGTCAACTCGTTAACGAGTTGATCATTATTAGGTCACTTGTTAAGAATTAATTAACGAATCATGTTATTATCGAGTCATTCATTAAGAATTTGTTAAGATAATGGACATGACAAATAAACAACACAAACACAATCCGTTTACCAATATAGACATTATGCATGATAATTTTTTGCACCTAATAACCCGACACGACTCGTTAACAAGTCGGGCATTATCGGGTCACCTATAAGGACTCGTTAAGACAACAGATTTGAGACGATCCAATCCAATAAGATAATGAATATGCCATAAAAACGACACAAACACGATTTATTTATCAGATCTATCAACTCTACGTAGTAAATGAGAAGATCTGGTCTGTAATTTGAGCAGTTGGACATTTTAGTATTAGGATTGAAAAAATAGACATCAAATTTAAGCTACTTTAGTCACCGTTGTCATTTATCCATTTAAGTCTCACATGTGCAAATCATTTTTTTAGTGAGTGGGATTAATTTAATTCTCCATTTGGAGCCGTGGTAAATGAGAAGATCTGCTCTTAATCTGAACAGTTGGACCTTTTAACAAGATGTATGAAAGAACGGACGTTAAATCTTGGCATGATGTAGAAAATACGTTAAACCAATATAATAATACTTATAAACATAAGTATAATCATGGCATGATGTAGAAAATACGTTAAACCAAGCATTGGTAGAAACTATAAATATATACAAAGCTTTAAACCAAAACTCACTCATTGGTACGTAGTCAGGTCCTTATAATTGCTTAGGTGCAATTGTTATGGATGCTCCATCCCACATAATTTGAGCGGGGTTGTGTGATGACAGATGAAAATTCTGGGAGACGTGGTGAGAACCAGAAATCAAGCAACCATTCCTGTATGTATTTGGGGAGGTATATGATGGTTAAATTCATAAAATTAATGGAAATTGGATCTAAGGGATCATTCGGGGAATTTAAAACTATGAATGGTCGTAGTGACTAGTGAGTCACAATCTGACGAAAAATAATAATGGCAAACTGGGCCACTAGTTGACTTTGTGCTCAGATGAAACCCTGCTAATATTCTATATATTGTGAAATTCTTATCGTCTGCTTCGTGCATACAAATTTATTGTTTATATCTTGCTCTTTTTACACCTCACCTTCAGTTATGGCTTTGTTTTTCTTTAGGTATCGGTCAGCACACTTCAATTTAGATGTTCACTTAAACATTTGGGTCATTTCGAGTATCCATCTGGATTATCCGAGTCAGAAGTGTCAGAGTTAAACAAAAATAATAAATCAAAATGTGTAGATTATAAATTCAAATATTTAATTATAAGAGACATTGAATAAAATACACATTAAATATTCAAACAAAAACAAAACATAAATTTGAATTAACGTACGCATTAAATGATGAAATTAAATCAATATGATCACATATTCAAATCAAAGTGCTACCAAAAGATGTAGGAAGTAAACAGTTAAGTGGAAGATATAATCTATATACATAACATGTGCTATAAATTTTTATTTGTAATTATGATAAAAAAAAAATTTATTTGTAATTTACATTTCGCACTTAACTCAACGTAAATGTCATTCAGCCTATCACGCGACACAATAGTTTTTCTTCAAGTTCTTTTACATTTTGTGTGGTGTTCTAAGAGTGACGTTCTTCAGATTGAGAAAATGATTAGAATTTTCCGTTGAATCAAGTGAGATGGGCCTCACTAAATCTAAGACCACAAGTAACGTGTATTGAAAAAATGGCTTTATAATATAAACATAGGCGTGATGAAAATGTGCGGCTATATATATGTAAGTATCCGACTGCAAGGCCACAAGAGACCACATCAAATAAGCATAAGTCTTGGCGAAAAACCAGAGGCTGGAGAGAGAAACAAGTTTCAGAGTGAAAATATATAGTTTTCTGGTGTAACCAAGCACCTAAGCAGTAATAATGGGGAGAAGCCCTTGTTGTGCAAAGGAGGGCATGAACAGAGGTGCTTGGACTGCCCATGAAGACAAAGTTCTCACTGAATACATCAAGCTCCATGGAGAAGGCAGATGGAGAAACCTTCCCAAAAAAGCAGGTAACAGTTAAATCAAAATGCTAACTTAGAATCAATAGTAGCTTACCCTTTTTTCCGGTTACATTGAAGGACTTCGAGCTTTGAACCTACCAGACTACTCTTACCACTTTCACCGCTGGGCTAACCACAATGGCTTGATAGTAGTTTACTTTAGAGCAAGCCCATCGCTGGTTTTCTAAATTGTGCATGAAAATCATATAAATGTCTAATTAATTAGTACTTAATCATATACGCAGGTTTAAACAGATGTGGGAAGAGCTGCAGGCTTAGGTGGTTGAATTATCTGAGGCCAGACATTAAGAGAGGTAACATATCTCCAGATGAAGAAGAGCTTATCATTAGGCTTCACAAACTTTTGGGGAACAGGTAATTTTCTTCTGATTTTTTTTTTATTTATGAAATTCTAGTAATTGGGTTCTTTATTTTGATGGATTTTTTTTTTTTGTTTTTTGTTTTTTTTTTTTTTTTTAATTTTCAGATGGTCTCTAATAGCTGGTAGGCTTCCAGGGCGAACAGACAATGAAATAAAGAACTACTGGAACACAAATTTAGGTAAAAAAGTTAATGACCACCAACAAGGATCTGCTTCAGATCTCAAGCACCACAAAAATGGTGAACCAAATTCCAAGAAAGCAAAAATGATGGACATGGCAGCACCAGCATCCCATGTTGTCCGTACCAAAGCTGCTAAGTGTACCAAAGTTTTTATCGACCCACACCCACACAAAGTCCCACTTGGTCATGATCATCAACATTGTACTGAGGAAATAAATGCAGGGGGACTAATGTTTGGTGACAAGCCAGCGCTATGGATGATGACCACATTAATAGCACACAGTCATTTTCTTCGTTCTCTAATATCAATGCTGATCAAGAAAATGTAACCTCGGATTTTTTGGCGGATTTTGACATGGATGAGATTAGCTTAGCCAATCTTCTGAATTCGGATTTTCCGGAGATTAATCACGATGAATTGAATCATAATGGCAGTGACAATGGTATGTCACATTGTGTAGATGAAACCGCTCGATTTTTTTCAGAAGGAATGCTGCAACATTGGAAGAATGGTGGTAGCGACGATGGTGATGATCGAGTTCAAGTTCAGCCAAATTTGGTTCTCAATTTCCATTCCTACACTTCTTTTCTGGGTTCTGACCATCAAGGGAAGAATGCCTTGGAGTTGGAGAGAGTCGTTGAATAATTTTTCCTAATTATTATCTATTGTATATATTGTAATATTTTTTATGGTGTCATCTTGTCTCCATGCTGGTCATGTTTGATATTTATCATAATTATCAGTGGCAATCCTACTTTTCCTTGATTTATATGATCAGAGAATTCGCTTTTGTTTCCCAAAAAAAAAAAAGAATTGACTTTTGAGATGTGTTATTTTCTCGATGGAATATGGCCTCATGTGTGGTGTATTTATGTTGTCCTGTGGTGGAGCGGGAACCTTTTGATTTGTAAGTTGAACATGCTATGAAAAAGAGAAAAGAAATGGACTGCTTCACCAGGAGAAAAAAGCAAGCTTGCTCAAAGTATATACAAATAAATTGTCACAAATCTGGATTTTTATGATTTTTAGTTACGTAAATTACATTTTATCACCTCAGGTTTGATGTGTATTGTAATCTCATATAATATCTTCAAAACATTTCGCTTTTATACATCAAGTACTATTTTATTTCAATATAATACATCCGTTAGATTTTCCATTCATTGATATTTTAAAAATTGATGTGGTTGCCACATGACAATTATTTTTTTATTTTATTACCTATAAAAAAATAAAAAACCCAAAAAACCCATCCCCCGACCACCTCCACCCCCTTCCCCATCACCACCGCAACCCTTCCTCATCACCATCATTGCCCCCAGACCACTCCTCCCTCTTCACCTCCCCGACCCACCTTCTCCCTCGCCTCCACTCTCTTCACCTCCCCTCCCCTAGCTGAGACCCACTGCCGAAGGAAATTTCCACTCAAATGCCTCATTTGAAATTAATCAATTCACAAGAGATCCAATTTTTCTTGAAAAAATGAAAATCCAGTTTTCCCTTTTCCCTCTACTTTCCCAGCTACCAAACAGATAATCTCACTCTGCAAAAACGACCCCACACAATAATTTATTCCCTTTTTCTTCCATGATTTCTCACCAACCAAACAGCATTTAGCATCATGAAATTCAGAAAATCACAATGCACCTATCGAACCCAAATTCAAAACCCACAACTTTCGAAACCAAAACACCAAAAACAAACACACCCAGATCTACAAATCGTACAGAAACCAAAAAATAAAATAAAAAATCAGACAACCGAGAGCAATGGGTTACCTATTGAGAACCAGGGTCGGATCCAACGCAAGAGAAACGATGGAACACGACCACCCTTTGTTCCTCTCTCCCTCTAGAATCTGAACCACCAGCACCACCACTAGAAGAGGTTTCAGCGTTGAGGGTCAAGTGGTGCAAGGAGGAGTGGTCTGGGGCTACGATGGTGATGGGGAAGGAGGTGGAGGTGGTCGGGGGAATGGGTTTCTGGGTTTTCTGGGGTTTTTTTTTTTTTTTTTTTTTTTTTTTTTTTTTAAGGTAATAAAATGTAAGGGATGTATTATATTGAAATAAAATAGTAGTTGAGATATAAAAATGAAATGTTTGAAAAATATTATATGAGATTGTAATAAATATCAAAATCTAAGATGGTAAAATGTAATTTACCTTTTTTATTTTGTTTCTGCCAATTATCACAGATTCTTCGGTGTAAGTTTTTTAATTAAAAATTTTGAAGGAAAACAATTTAAAAAATAAACAAAGAGTGGAATTTCGTATAGAGTTCGTCCTTTCTTGCAAGACTAATACTCTCAGAACTAGGGGACCCAGCCCCTTATGATTAATAAGAGTCATCGACGTTTAACATTTATTTATGTGGACCAAGTTTGTGCAATTATAGAGGAGAAATACTACCGAGATTCTTACTGCTCCCTTATTTCTTTTGCATAATATTTTTATAATGTTGATGTGAGAATTAACGATAAATTATGAGGTAACAGAAAATTCATAAAAAAAATTTCACTTTGAAATAATCGTCTTAACATTTCTCATTATAGACATAATAATGCCCAATTGTTGAAACTGATGTTCAAGAAGTCAATTAATTGAAAAGATTAAAAAGTCGGGTGAATTGTCGATTTAGCACTTAAATTATTACCTAAATGAAAATTAAGTTCCTAAGCTATTTTTTTCGAAAGAATCAGTCTTCAAACTAATAAAATCTGCCAATTACATCCATAATATTAAATTCGAAGCTATACTATTTAATTTTTCGTCAATTTAAGTCGTATGTCTTACATATGATACATTTTAGTGAGTAGATTGGTAGATTTTCATAGTTTAAGGACTTATTTTTTCAAAGAAATAATGTATGGAGTTAATTTTGAAAGGTAAATTAGATATTTGATTCGCAACTTACACGCAACATTAAGGGCATGTAGGCAAGAAAATGGCAGCAACAATCTCTAAAATATTAGGGATGGAATTAGCAATTTTAATGAATTATGGGACTTATTTTACCGAAAAAATAATTCAGAGACCTAATTTCATTGAGATGGTGATTAAGGGACTAAATTGGTAGTTCATCCTAAAAAGTACATGTGTGGCACAACATTCTTCATGTCTGAAGTTTCAATTAATTTGACTTTTTCACACCAATTAGCTTACGGGCATGCCCTATAAAAATCTATAAGTTCTTGATTTCAAATTTTCAAGAGAAACGATATTGTATTAGTCAAAAGAATTGGCGATAGCAACCTTAGAGGAACTAATTAAAAAGTGTATTTTCAAGCCTTTACAATCATAGAGGAGCTAAAAAGTGCTTCTTGTGCTTCCATTTAATTGAACCCAATTGTGAATATGGTTTTTTGTTCTATATTAGTCATGTACCATTATTCACGAATTGGTGGTCCAGTGGTAAAGGACGGACTGCAAGACTTCCTTCAAACTAAAAACTGGAGGTCTCGGGTTCGAAATCCGTTGCTGATGTGAAAGCCTGACTTGTGGCTAGAGGAAGATTGAAATGCCTATGTGAATCTTTTCCTTACCACTAGTTGTCCCATTTTTAAAAAGTTTAAAAAGTTTTTGTCTTTAGTTACCTACGTCTTGCATCACTCTGCTAAGTTTAAAAATAGGTATCCCATCCTTGTGAACTATTTCTCTAACAGACAAAAAACTTTCTCTATCACAAAATGTAAATTATTACGTGTCTATTTATTGTCAAATGATTGAACATAACATTTCTCAAATCTAACTTCTGTGTCTCTCTCTCCATAGTAAACACGTGTCTCTGCTATCAAGCGAGGCTGCTGGCCACAAATGATCGTTCAAATGGTCCCAATCCAACAAAGCCTCCCACACTACTCCCTCTTTGGCAGTAGTGAGTGAAGGTCCCAACGATGTCAGCCTTTTAGGTACTACAACGTTTGCATTGCCTTAAGGGTGGATTGGGGGCCTGTCGTGCCTCTACGTTGGGCATGTGCACAAAAGGGATGATGAATAATATATGACATATCAACCCAACGAGGGCATGCAAGCAGTGGTAGCCAGAAGGTTACGAAGGTCTAAACTATAAACTTCATTTATTTGGGGTCGAAAAGCAATTTTCATCGTTAGGTCAACATCCAACACTCTTTGTCGATGAGACAAAATCAATAGAACTGTTTGGTGGTAGGTGATATAAGCACTTTAGAAAGTAGCTAGCTTTCCACGTCCATCCATGCTAGAAACTAGAAAGTAGCTAGCTTTCCACATCATCCATACACTAACAAGTTGGAGCACAAGAAAAGTCTAAATTTCATTATTGTTATATTATTGACATAATATTAAAAATGGTATTTTTTTAAGGGTTTTAATATATTGACAAAATGACACGAAAATTAAATTTTGTAACATTTTATGTCATTTATCTTTGTGGGAAGCTAAAGTTGCCACATTTTAGTAAAATTGTGCTTATACCTTCATTACCATTGACCATTATTGTGTACTGATATATTAGTATCATCCAATGGTAGAAGATAGAAAATTAAACGTGGATCATGTGACAATAACAAATACTAGTAGAATTTAAACACGACGTCACGTGTACTTTATAATTGGTATTCAATTGAAATTATCGTTAAGATCTCTCCAGGATTAGTCTTGACAAAAAATTATTCTTAAGCCCAAATTACAAACATCATACTTACGAAAAGTGATGGAAGTTATTGAGAGAGAGAGAGAGAGAGAGAGAGAGAAATTTGAGAATGAGTACAAGCTGGTGATTAAATTAGCATGCATATTATTTTTATTTCATATATACATTAAAGTTCAAAATGGTTGAATAAGATAAAAATATAATAATTGACAAATTAGCAGAATTCGAGACCACAATTACGGGAGAAATGCTAGTCCTAACATATCTTGCTGTCCCCTCGATCACACAGATTTGGTGTTCTATGGCATTAGGTAGTAGGTACGTGTTTTCTCTCCGTTAGACAAAGAGAGACAGAGAGAGACTTCCAAGTTCCATCCATGAATAATTTCTTGATCTTTCACAACTGAATTATATGGCATTAACGTCGCCAGCCATGAGCCATGCTTATATCGTGGTTTACTTTGTTATCTAATACAGTTTTTTTATTTTATTTTATCTTTTTAACCAAAATGGTTTATGAGTTTTGCGAAACAAATTATTTTGATCTTTGAGATTTGAAATTAATAGAAGTGATCCCTGAGATTGTCTATCATAAATCATTTTGGTCCCTCTATGCAAAATCATGTTAAATAAGGATTAAAATGACAAATATACCCTCAATTTAATAAACAATAGGCCAAAATGATTTGATAAAAATTAAGGGTATTTTGATCATTTTATTTTTATTTAATAGAGATTTTTCACGGAATGACCAAAATGATTGATAGTGGACAAAATCAGTGATCAATTTTATTGATTTCAAATCTCATAAACTAAAATGAAGAATTATGAAAATCTCATTGATCATTTTGACTAAAAAGCTTTTTGGTTTTCATGACTTTTAGCACAAAGATTTCGACATATGGTAATATAATATTTTAAGTATAAAGGACGAAATTTTCTCTATTATTTCCAGGACTTTGCTTTTGGACTTCGCTTTTTCATGTCAAGTTTAATTGATTATATTCAACATGATGTACGTTAAGTTTTTGTTAATCTCAACCACTTAATCTAAAAACAATATTGGACATGATCGGAAGTTTAATTTATACAACTTCCTTAGTTATATTTTAAGCTTTAAGTGTGCTACCTACTCCACTAAGTTCCATACTAATTAACATTGAAAGTTTGTGGATTGAATTAATTCTCAAGGAAGAATATTTTGGACAATGTTTGTATGTTCCCTTCTTTTAATATATATATATATATATATATAATATATTTGAGAATCTTACTGAATCCGATCTGATGTAAAGTTGTAAACTCATGTTATTTTCTTCAATTGAAGCAATTTGATCTTCATGATGACAAGCAACAAAAACTTAACTAATATATTTTTTTGGTCTTACTGATTAATATATAGTAGCGAGATATAACACTGTATGCAGGGCAAATTTTAATCTATCACGTGACATAGGCACCTCAATCATTTTTGTTCTTGTTGTTTGTTTGTCAATTTTTAGCTTCAGCTTGTACAAAGGATAATACTTCTCTCATTTTTGAAATAGGAGGAAACTCCTCTTTTCCCATTAACCATTCAATATTCAATTGTTTTGGAGACCATTTTGCCATGTTTATGATGATGAACCGTCAATTTATTTGATTCATATGGATAACTAAACAATCTTTAAACCAAATAAATATTTCTAGAGATGATTTGTAAATGATACTAAAGAGAATGGATTGTTCTAATTACCTTTATTGTATGGTCTAATGATGTGACAGTCACAGTAGCAGGGAATAAGGATTTCCCGATCCTCCAAGAAAATAAGGAAAGCATTGTCCTTGTACAAATATCTCATTCCTCATTTACCCACTTTCATACGGTAAGTGAACTGCTCAAGTCTATGCTCCAAGTCCAAACGCACCAAGCCAAAAAAGTGACCTATATATGGAGGATCTATGGTTTTTACTGAAAATTAATAGGGGGCTGTGAAGAAAGTACTGATCGACATTTCTTTTACCAATTCAGGAGGAATATTATTGATTAATTATGCGTTTTCAGATCTCTCACCATTCTCAAACATTCCCTTCAGTTGATATATATATATATATATATATATATATATATATATATACACATATATATCTGTCTGTGGAGGAGACTTTTCAAGCACGCCAGAAACCCTAGAATGCTATTTTTAGCCAGTCTCAAGTTTTAATGGATCAGGGAAAGGGAACAAAATATGAAACCAGGGTAAATATTCCATGACTTTCAACAGCTTTAACGATAAAAAGAAAGGATGTGGCGAAATAGGAATATATAGGGTATAGGAGGGGAGGGCTGCCTTAAATTAATTTGACCAGAAGCCATAATCTTACTTCTGTTAGGAGTGCAAGTATTAGACTTTTCGGTTTCGATTAAATTTAGGTATACCTACTCTCACCTAATGGCATGTTCGAGAGCGATTTTAGGATGCTTTCGACAATGTTTGAATGAAAAAAATTAAATGCGGCCATGACCAAGGTGCTTACGAGCTGAACTGCTTCATACAAAAGCACTCCCTAACACTCCAAAAAAATTATTGAAGTCACATTGGGGTCCTCAACTCAATCAATTCGCACAAATTATACCTCTGTAATTTCATGTCACTTTAAACCCCAATATGTCACTTTATAAATTTTTCCTGCTAGAATACATTTTTACGAGTGGTAGATTGACCTGGTGGTTAGGGCCTTCTTTTTCAATCTATTGCGTCCTAACTAGGTTTGATCTCTCTTTCCTCTCTAAATACAGGTGATCGAAAGTGTTAATATTTTTGCATGTGATCCAATATTCTAGTAAATAGAGTGTTGGGTTTTCATCCATATATCTCAGGTTCGAAACTCCACCTTCTCTTAAATTATTGTAATATTTTCGAACCCTTCACACTTAATAATAATGAAATAAAATAAATGGAATGGTACAACCATTATTAAGAAGAGAAGAGTGTGGACAATGACATTAGTAGTCTCAAAGATGCTTTAATGGGGCAAGGCCTGGGTCCAGATTTTGTTATGCATTTCGCAAGCCCTGATAAATTAAAGCCCAATATATTTTTCCACTTTTGTTATTGTTTTGGACATCCAAACAAAGGGCCGGGCAATTTGGTTTGGTGTTTCTTGGATTGGTTCAAGAAGTCGATTAGTTCAGGTTTATCTTTTACACCAAAAACAAGTAATCCCAGTCCGTGTTGTAAGAGAGTATTAAAACTGATTAGATATCTATATAAAGGCCTTTCATGGGGCATTCTACCTTCTAAATTGAAATGCAGTACAGTTTTCCGGTGGCTTCAATCCTAAACTTTCAGAAATCTGAAGTTGGCATCTTCATCAGCAACATCTATTTCTCTGGCGAACTCGAAACCAACATTAAGCAAGAAGCTTGACGAGGAGAGAAAAAAAAACTACCCCTCTACTTCTGTCATGATCGGTTGCTCGAAGCAATTGAAAAGTATCAGGTTCTTGTTATTGTTGGGGAACCTGGATGTGGAAAAACTACAGAAATCCCTCAATACCTATATGAGGCCGGGTACACAAAGGATGGATAGAAAAAGATTGGAATCACACTGCCACGTGGACTCACTCATGTCATGCCAGATGTCGCCACCAAAGTTGCTGAGGAGAGGGGAGTCCAGCTTGGACATGAGGTAGGCTATTCCAACCCTAATACTTTGGGTCATACTAATGTTTTGATCAAATACATGACGGATGGAATTTTGGTGCGTCAAATATTTGAGAGGGAAGCAAATGTGGAGAGCTACACTGTGGTGATGGTGGATGAGGCACAAGAGAGAATGCTCGCAAGTCTCAACTGATATTTTACTTGAAATACTTAGAAATATTACTCGACTAAGACCATCCGCTTTTAAGCTGTTAATTTCATGTTCAACTTTCATAGATGCTTAAAAATTTTGTGACTTTTTCGATTCTGACTTGATTTTGCAAATTCCCCGACGAATGGGGTGTAATAAGAGACACTACATGCATACCATGGAAGATGGCTATGACTTGGTGGATTTAGTAGTTACACAAACCTTGGTATTTCATGTGATGGAAGCACCTGGTGACATATTGGTATTTTTGCCTGGTCAACAAGAAATCGAATCCTTTGACCATTCGTTGAAGCAAATAACGATCCTCGTGGTCATACCCAGTTGATTACACCCCCCATTAGTGCAGAAGTTTTGGAGCCAACACCTCAAGGGGTTAGGAAGGTTGTACTTGCAACAGGCCCGGCTGAAATTTCGTGGCTAATGTTGAACAGTATTCAGTATGTCATTGACTCTGGTCTTTGCAAGATGAAGTCTTATGATCCGATGGCCGGGAAGGAGTTGGATCGAGTGAGTCCCGTCTCGAAGGCTGAGGCAACGTAGAGGGCAGAGCTAGCGCTAAGCGGGATCTACGTGCTACAGGTTGTACACTAATAATTTTTACGAGGGTTTACAAGAGAACACACCAGAAGTACAAAGGAGAAACCTTGTAAATGTTGTTCTTGTGCTTAAGAAACTAGGGTTTGGTGATGTATTTAAATTTGGGTTTGTGGATCCTCCAGCTTCTGAAGCATTGGCACAAGCTCTGCAGCAGTTGATTAGAAGGGGAGTTTTAGATAATGATCTGGGTGAGTTGACTCAAGTTGGTAACCAGATGGCAGACACAGTTTCATTATCCATGTGATGGAAAATAGAAAAATATTTTGATTCATAAATATTAATAGTTAGGAAGCTTTGCTTTTCAATTTTCAATTTTATTCTTGTAGAATATATCTTTAATTTACTTAGCTTCAAACATTTGATAATGTTCTGATACCATGAAGAAAGTTGAGGTTCCACCATAAAACCAAGTGACAATATGGGGAATACCCCAACTACTTTTTAACACATGCAAAATCCCTTCTTTCCCAAATGTAGGATTAATACTCTCAACCACTTAACTAAAGAGTTTGTGTTATATAAATTTGTAAGCTAAATTATACAACTCAATGTTGCTCTTGTGGTGAAAAACTTGATAGTAATATGTTTGTGGTTGTGTTTCTTAGCTGTCTCGGTCCAAATCGAACATTCCATCCAAAGTCCTTCCAACTCACACAAATACATGCATCGCTTTGCAAATTTGATTCAAGTGTAAAGCATGTTTCAATCAACCAATTCCTTAAAAAACCTTTTCACCATTATATACAACGCACACATGACAAAGTTAGACATTTTAGATAAAAAGTTCAAATTAAACCGAGATTGATAACAGACTTATCAAATATATGTTATTAAGAATTTTTTCACCACATAAGTAGCATTGATGTATCACACCACGTATATAGATGATTTGTCCAAATCGGCATAATAATTTCTTATTTCTTATTTATTTTATGGGTCAAGGCTTGATCCTCACGAAAAGGACACATTTGATTTGATCCTCCCAACCAGAGCTTGATCTTCAAGCAAACTAAAACCTTTGGGCCTCAAGTAAACACAAAACATTCCAAGAGGAACTTAACAAAAAGTAATATCTGATATCTCAGAAAGCATGAACAAAAGTTGACTAATCAGATGGTGTATTGTCCACGTATCAAGAATAACTAGATAAATGACTTAAAGTAATGAAACATCGTTAGTCAACAAAAAATGTCGAATTAACATTATAAAACAACATTAGATTTGACAGATTATTTCCTTTTTTACAAGATAGAACATCATTAATCAACGTCGAATTAGCATTATAAAAGAACATTAGATTTGACAGATTATTTCCTTTTTTACAAGATAGAACATCATTAATCAACGTCGAATTAACATTATAAAAGAACATTAGATTTGACAGATTATTTCCCTTGTTACAAGATAAGCATTTGACTGGAAGCTCCAAAATCTCTATTATATATTGCTCAAGTTTGAGTTTATGAATCATTATTCATCAAACATCCAAACAATCTCAGTTTTATTTAGTATGGAAGAATATGTACTGCTATTATGTTCTCTTGCATTTGTTCTGCTGCTCTATGGTGCTGCTAGGGTTTCCTACTCCATTTTTTGGAAACCCAAGTGGCTAGAGAGGCAGCTGAAGCGACAAGGGATTAGAGGCACCCCTTACAGGCCACTCATTGGAGACATGAAGGAGTTTGTTAGGCTGATCAAGGAAGCATGGTCCAAGCCTATGAGCTTAACTCACCAGATTGCCTCACGTGTCGAACCGTTCACCTCAACTATCATGCAGAAATATGGTAACACACCTTGTGAATTATGTTTTTATTCTGAGAAATGTTATTCGCACTCCAGAAAAACTATTATGCATTCATTTCTTATAAGTTATAAAAACGTAAAGGAGAAATTGCACTTGTTAACGTTCCATGGTGCCAATAAGAGTTCTTTATATTTTCTAGGTCAATATCGTGCCTATGAACTTTAATTTGGTTTTGGTTTCCTTGATGTTCTAACTTTTAAAACTTGTCAGGTTACTCCTACAGTCAAATATGTCAATTTTACATTAAATTGAAGGTTATTTTTGTCCATTCACTTGAAAAATTTGACATGCTTTAAAAGATTATGGGAGTTAAAATCAAATTAAAAGTCGAGAAGGCAAATCAGAAGAAGGTTGTAAGTTAATTAGGCATTTCAAAATTTCTCCCCGTTCTTGAATACAGGCAAAATATCAATGTATTGGGTTGGGACAACACCAAGATTGATCATCATGGACACAGAGCTGATGAAAGAAATTCTGTTGAACAAGCAAGGCCATTTCGGTAAGCCGCCATTGAATCCATTGATTCTCATTCTGACGAGAGGACTTGCAAGTCTAGAGGGTGAGAAATGGACCAAACACAGAAGAATTATCAATCCTGCTTTCCACATAGAACGACTTAAGGTTTGTATTTCCAGAAAATTTTGTTCTGCGAGACTCCTTTCTTCTTCTTTTTTTCAGAATGATTCATTCCTCCTTTTTTTACATGTAGGAAATGAAATCGGTTTTCGTAGTCAGTTGTCACGAAATGATAGAGCAGTGGAAGAGGGTGGTTCCCCTTGGAGGAGGAGGAAGTTTTGAAATGGATATCTGGCCTGAGATCCAAAAGCTTAGTGCAGATGTTATTTCTCGAGCAGCGTTTGGAAGCACGTACGAAGAAGGGAAGAAGGTTTTCGAGCTTCAGAAAGAGCTTCTAGTGCTGACATTTGAAGCAATGACTACTTTGTACATTCCTGGTTTCAGGTGCATTTCCAATTTCCATTGTCTAAAACCCTAGCTTTCATGCTTTCATATTTGTTAGCGATAAAAATTAACATTTTGACTGTTTGAGTACAGATTTGTTCCAACAGAAAAGAACCAAAGGAGAAAGAAATTGGCCAAAGACATCACGTCAATGCTGCGAAACATAATCGAGAAGAAAATGAACACGATGAGGGCTGGGGAATCAAGGGTTGATGACTTGCTAGGAGTGCTGTTGCAGTCTAATAACCAGAAGGATTCATCAGAAAATCCAAGCAATACGAAAATCAATGAGACGTTGACAATCGAAGAGGTGATAGAGGAGTGCAAGCAGTTTTATCTTGCTGGCCAAGAAACCACCTCAAGCTGGATAACATGGACCCTGATTGTCTTAGCTATGCACCCAGACTGGCAAGAAAAGGCAAGGCACGAAGTCCTTCGAGTTTGTGGGAAAAAGGAACCCGATTTTGCAGCTATAAGCCACCTCAAAATTGTGAGCATTTCTCTCTGCATGACCACTCTTTACAATCACAAAAATCTTTGCAGCTTCTTCCAAATACTTTGTAATTCTTTTGCAGGTAACCATGATACTTAATGAAGTTTTAAGGCTGTACCCACCGGCGATTGCAGGATACCAACACACTTACAAAGAAACGAAAATAGGAGATATCATTGTTCCAGCAGGAGTTGACATTACTCTCCCAACCCTACTGATTCACCATGATCCTGGCCTGTGGGGTGATGATGCAGGGGAATTCAAACCGGAGAGATTCTCAGAAGGAGTGTCCAAGGCAACGAAGGACCACCAGCAGGCGTTCTTTCCATTCGGATGGGGCCCAAGGACCTGCATCGGCCAGAACTTTGCAATAATGGAAGCAGAGGTTGCTCTAGCTATGCTTCTGCGACACTTCTCGTTCGAGCTCTCGCCTTCCTATACTCATGCTCCATATACGGTTACCATTCTTCAACCACAACATGGAGCTCTAATCACATTGCACCAAATCTAGGGAGGGTTATCTAAATTTCGGTTTCAATAATGTAATTTGAAATCACAAACTGTGTGGCCTTTACATTTCAACAGTGTGTTCTTCATAGTGAAGAAGTCAAGATGTAGGGTTTGCTTATTAAGTTCAGTGTCTTCTTAGAGTCCAAATAAACAAATCACCACCACCATTAGGATCGTTTGTCCCAGTAATTATGGATTAAGAAAAATGCATTCGAATTATGAGAATCGACCCAAGAAAGTGTGAGAACCCGATATGATCTTTGACTGCCGTGTCTTGGATTCAGATGGCCGACAAGAGCCCGATTTACTAGAGCAGTAGATTTAAGAATCCTATCTGTCTAATGTCTAATGGAGAATCGAATGTGTAATGTTATTTGCAAACAGAGAACGTGGAAACTTAGCAAGCACACAAAGAATATGGATTTATTTCAATACCATCAGAATAGAGAGCGTTAGTTGCAATACGTTCACTTGAAACACTCCACTCTTCAGCATATTATCAAGGTATTTAGCCTTACCTATTGGAACTTGTCATCTATTTTCTCGGATAATGTCGAATGAAGAAAGTGCCGCAATTTTTCACTCTCACACACCAAAACTGTATTCGTAAATGGGCAAAAAAACACTAGAATAAACCATCTACACTTTCCAAAATGGAATCGATATCTGGGGTTGCAATGGCTCGCTTGTTCAGCTCGCCGATAATACCAAATCCCTTCTCGTTCTCATTAGTAACCACAAGATCCTGGGCAAAACCACACTTCATTCCTGAGGAGACCTGCAGAAAATTGACAAGATTTTATACAAGAACGTAGTTAACAGGAGTTTGCTAACACATACGGAAATCTACGATCTCCTTTTAAGGTATTTTCAGCACGAACAGTTAAGGCAGAAGTGAGGAAGACAAGAGAAGATATTCGATTTAACATCTTTATTACGAAATGTACTCACATCGAAAAGGGTATCTCCTAGTTTCAGCTTGATAGCACCGCTTCTGTACACCAGCATCTTACCCATGTGGCCAGGTGGTAAATCAGACAAAGCACAAAACTTCTGCATATTGTGCCTGCTTCCCGGTGGCCCTGAGCTTTTTGTTGCCTCAGGGCCATCTGCTGTAGCTGATCGTTTCATTGTAGGCAGATACTGTGGTAACTGAAGAAAGAACATACTTGTTGCTTTATTTTCCTCCTGCCAACAAACTATCAAATGTAAATAATAGGATACAAGCATGCACTGTTTGAGCTTTAACTGTCGAAATACCAACCAATAGATCAAGATCATTTGCCGGTTTTGTTGAGTTTTCATCGTAAGTTGACTCCTCTGAACCGACTCCAAATTCTTCCTGATTACGAATTTCTGCAAGTGGTATAGGTAGAACATTTGGTGCATTATTCAAACACAGGTTGAGATTAACCTTGACAGCAGATGAAACATATATATGATCACATGGAAAATGAAACCTGTTGGATGTGGATCCTATAACGAAAAAGCAATGCCTAGACAACTATATAACAGCTACAACGTGTCGTGTTTCTGAAAATTTGACAATCCTATTGCTTCTCTCATGCGACATAATATTTCTTTTCTAAGATGCATTCCACAACTTACCAGGATCACCAGAATATGGCGGTCTGAGAGGAAGAGTTACAGGGTAATAACTGTACTGATTCTGCAACAACATCCACATTTACACACACACATAAAATTCAGAAAAATAGGGATAGTGAAGAAACCAATTACTACGCATATCTGAGTCATAATGTAACCTACCCATGGCGAACCATATTCTTTCTCCACTTTCATGCCCGAGGCAGCAGCTGCAAAAACACGACCCAGGGTGAGGTACTAGAAGCATCTCATTAGCAGATAAACGAAAAGACTACATCAAAGGATACCATACCATCAGTGGCTGAAGTACTCCCGCCTTTGTGAGCACCATACACTTTCACGGATGTGGATGCAGCACCACCAAATGCAATTTGTGTAGGCGCCACTGCAAATTTAAATAACATGAAAAACTGTTCTAATCCCAAAAAAATTGTAGGGCAGTATTATCTACTCAAGCCAAACTCAAAGAAACCCCAAAAACATCGAAAGGATACGAATTTTGTAGCATTATCACAATTGGACTACCACAATGATATCTGGCCTATTTAAATCCGAATTCAAGAGTCACAACGCAGAGTTAGAAGAGCCTTACATTTCTTTTCATCTTTCGGCCTTGCGTGTATTGATCTTTCCTACAATATCAGATAACCCAATAACGAAAATAAACAAAAAATAACATGAGATATTGGAATAAAAACTGAAATTAAGTACATTTGCTCAACACAGTTACATACACTGAATCGTTTCAGCAGTTCCCTAGCCTTTTCAGCATCAGACTCCTCCGTCACATGGTCCGCTTCGCTGAAGACCAAGAGATTAAGAACAACACAAGTTAAAAATCAAATTAAACCAACAAAGGGCATATAGGCATTGCTATCAAGTTTTAACTTTTAACCATAAGTGAAACGTACATTTTGATTTCAGGTTTTGGAACCCGGCGCGGGGCAGCTTTCGGTATGAATCTCCTCTGCAGTGAGCAAAAACATATCAGAAAAAACACGATAAGTGAAACTTTTTAACGACTGAAAAACACAAAAGAGAATCGAATAACTGCAGAACATATATATATATATGTGTGTGTGTGTGTGTGACTGAAAAAAACAAAAAACAAAAACCAAAAGAGAATCGAATAACTGCAGAACATATATATATGTGTGTGTGTGTGTGTGTGTGTGTGTGTGTGTGTGTGTGTGTCAAACAAACCTTTCTGGGAGCTGGTTCTGGCTCCATTGGAGATTAAACGAGAATCTTCAGATAAAGAACAAATAAAATTAGAGAAAAAAATTGGTAACCCATGATTGCAAACAAGAAACCCAAATAAAAAACATGTATAACCTATGCAGAACGATGATATGATATGATGATGGAGGTGGTGGTGGCTCACCTGTATTGGCGGGGAGAGAGAGAGAGGAGAGAGAGGAGAGAGAGTGATGGCTGATGAACACAAAGCCCTCTCTTCCTCTTCTGTTCAACAAACGGAGGTTTTATAGGGGCGGTGAGGGCCTCTGCAGTGCTAGTGTGCGGCTTCACGTGGATTTGCGGCCCCTTTGTTCCCACTCGCACCAGTTTTTTTCTCTCTCTCTCTTAATTTACACAGTACGTGCAAAAAGCACAAAACTTTGTTCTTTGCAGATTCGCATGGGTTATAGTACTTCAGTTCAACAAGGGCTCTACAGTCTCAGCCTATCCGAAACACATGGAAAAGGCCCAGGTTGAAAATACTTGTGGATTGACTTGGTTAGTCACGTGACTTTTTATTTACGAAAACCAATAGAGTAAAACCCCTAAACGGTTATCACATGCACAGAACTACAAACGGTTTGTGCCACGCCACATGTTGAAAGAGAGAGAGAACGGTTTCACCCAAGATTTTGCCCTTCACTATACCCAGGATGCTATTGGACAACAAAATGCAGCTTTCTGATGTGATATTGTATCATTGGTTTAAAACACCATAATGAGATCCCAGGTGTAGAGAAGTTTCTCTCAATACTTGAGCATGATTTTGGTCTTTTTGACAAACTTTTTCCCTATATTCTAATTTCGTCATATTTTCACGGAGAATGACTTGCACGGTACAAGTTCACCACCAAGTGAAGTCACATACCAATAATATAAGGACACACGTTAACTTTTTTCCATACGTTCTTATGTTATTGACACAAAATACCACCGTGACGAACAAACCTATGGCAATACAAGTTGTTCTCATTTTCAAGAGGTTTATCATTTTGTGGGTAACTCCTAATCATTGTTTTGTTTTTGTATGTATATATGTACTGCCTTGCTTAGGTTTATCAAAACAACAAATCTTTCCTTTTCCAAGGGATCCGGAAAAAATGGTTCCTTCTCTTGGCGATTCCTCAGCAGATGTCAGAGAAACAAGAATGAAGTTCTGGACATTGGGGATGTGGAATATGATCATGTCAAAATTAGCAAAGAAAATAAACGCAGAATCGGCTTTACTCCAAACCATAATTAACAAGGTGAGGGAAAAGGGATCTCAAGAAATTACTTCTTTTCGATTTCAAACATCCTATCGTTTGCTTTCTATTCTTCCATGGACAATCAAACCTGCATACAGAACTTCATTACTCCCCGTTTTCTTCTATCCAAACAGCGGGAGAGTCAGCGCTAAGAAGATATGGAATTGGAATCATCCATTCCTCAAACCAGTTGACGAGTGACACACATCAAATTCTTTTTCTTCGTTTCCTAATTTCTTGCTGATTGCTGCACTGCTTGCACGATCGCAATGAGTTGAGCCATAATGGCAGCATACTGGACAGCAGTATGTTGTGAAGTACATTGGTCAAGGCCATACTCGGAAAAGTTTGGTTCCACATGCATGAAGTGCCCCAGTAATGATCTTTTCGACAAAGCCTGCTGCCATATATCCATGAACTCTTCCATGACTTGCCTCACTTTTTCCATCGAAGAAATGGGAAGGTACTCCAGCTGCAGAACACAGAGTTAACATGAAACTATTTCTCAGAACCAGAATAACAGGGAGATCAAGAAATCAATCCAACATTACTAATTTGAGTCACTAATCTAAAAAGTGAAAGCTTAATTAGAACGAACAATCGTCAAAAATCCAACTTTCATATATTAGCCAGAGCTTGGTAATCACATTGCTCGGCAAAGAGTACTTCACCCTGTATTCCAAACTCGTGCACAAGGGCAATTGAGGTGCCTAAACAAGTAAACTACTTTCGCCATGCATTACCATCAGCATTAAACGTTCCAACAGAGAGCTCCGTAAGAACCAAGGAAAATACTCACATAAAACCAAAAGGCACCTTCTCAATGGAAAGCTTTGTCAAACTCCTCAGCTATTTCAAAATGCACATCTAACTTCTAAAACTCGTAAAACCGAAATATTCAAATCCTCAACCAAATTTCAAGCTCATAGCAACGTCCATACCTCCATAACTATTCCTTTTAAATTTTCGGAATGAGTAGGAATAACTTTCCCCACTCTCAATTGGAAGTCCCCGACTTGATACTGAAACCCCTACACATTAAACCATAAACCACAAAGAATCAAGTAAAACCATTTTCTCGATTTCCACCTCCAAAATTCAGAACATCAAACCTTCCAACTACACCAATTGGAGGGGGAAACCTCAAAATAAAGCGAGACCCTCGATTTGTACGACTGTAACTTCTCCATAATCGCCTGAATCGAAGAATCCACCTCGAGAATTATCCGCTGCAACCGCATTATCAGGTAGTACTTACTCGGTTGCTCCGGCAGCGCAATCCCCAGAAGATAACGCGGGGGTTCCCCGGTTAAAGACGGCTCTGATGATGCACGCACAATGTACTATATCAAAATCTAATTTTTCAAACAATTAGCAAAACCCACAAACAAGATCCAAAAACAAAACAATTAAAAACATGAAAGATGAGAAATTTGGTTTTCCACCTTCCTTCCTTGACGCCATTGATGCTCTCGACGCACTGCGTGACTTCGTTTACGATCTGACTGTTGACCGTCGTCCCTGCGTTGGGCTGCCAATGCAAAACCCTAAAATTGCAGCACCACAAAAATCAAGCACAAAACTTTATCATACATAACTGTCCGAATCTGTGATTGGGATTTTCAGTGGTTACCATTTGAGTGGCATTGCCTCGGATATCGGCGGTTTCTGATTTAGGGTTTAGCAGAGATATAGGACACTGATTGAATTCGGAGATTTTAAAGGACTAAATTGAGTGAAATTGAAAGTTCGGAGTGCAAAAAAGGACATATTTTTAGCACGAGGCGGTTTAAAGAAAATAAGAAGAAGAAAAAATAGGTTTGGTTTTTATATTTTAAAAAGTTAAGTAAATGATGAGAAACACGGAAACAAGAGAGTGACTCTGTGAGCGTCTTCCGTTTTCTCTCAATCCCCAACCCCAAAATTCCAACCTCAAAACGCGAAGAAAAGTTGCGTTCTTTGCGCGCAATTTGCGGCCGCCGATCATATTCTCCGGCCACTTCAGAGAAGGAAGAGCTGGGTGTATAGGAGGAGCTAGGGTTTTTTTGTTTTCCTTAATTTTCTGGGTGATTTGGGGAATCAATGGCGTGCGTGTATATACCGGTGCAGAATTCGGAGGAGGAGGTGATGGTGGTTCTGGATCAGCTGCCTAAGGAAGCTACCGATATCATCGACATCCTCAAGGCCGAGCAAGCATCTCTCGATCTCTGGCTCATTATCGCGGTTCGTAATTTTCAGTGTAAATTGATTATTTATTTGAATTCATGGTGTGATTGTTTGAGCTTCTGAGCAATTGGGTTTCGATTTTTTTCCAGTGCACGAAGTTTCGATATGTTGGTGTATTAATTTTGAATTGGTAATGCTGCAGAGAGAGTATTTCAAACAAGGAAAGCTTGACCAGTTCCGCCAGATTTTGGAGGAAGGCTCCGGTGCTGGTAATCATTGTTTTCCCACTCGTTCCATATCCGAAAAGTTTATTACTTTTTAGTTCTGTTTATTGTACTTGTTATAGGTGATTAATGTGGAATAATGTTGGTGGTTATTATGTTCTTTGGTGCAGAAATTGATGAATATTATTCTGATGTTCGTTATGAAAGGATTGCCATCTTGAATGCTTTAGGGGCCTACTACACCTACCTTGGAAAAATTGAGACAAAACAGAGAGAAAAGGAGGAGCATTTTATTTTAGCAACACAATTCTACAACAAAGCGTCGAGAATCGACATTCACGAGGCTTCTACGTGGGTTGGGAAAGGTGTGGATACCACAGAGCCTCTTTACCTTGTTATATATCTGAGTAAATATTTGATTGCAACCTACATCAAATTTCTGATTGTTCGTAATGAGAAATAGGTCGCCCAAAGACATTGTCTTTTCGCTGGATTTTGCGTTTAGGATGTGTTTAGACAAGCTTAATAGTTGATCCATAGTTTGTCATCCTAGAACTGCTTGGTATGGCATCTTAGACTTTGTAATAACTGGCCCTGTTTGATTTGGCATCCTAGAAATTTTCTGCTTAGTTGTACTGCTATCTGTCTTGCATTCTCAATGATTGCCACAAGAATATCTATGTTGGCAAGATAATATAGCGGCAACTTTTTCTGTTCGAAGCTGAGCCATGTTTATATCATGTATTCGAAGATGCTTCAATTTTTGTTACCTGTCTTACAGGTCAGCTTTTACTGGCTAAAGGTGAAGTAGATCAGGCATTTTCTGCATTCAAGATTGTATTAGATGGAGACCGAGATAATGTTCCTGCCCTTTTGGGTCAGGTATATTCATTTAATTTCTCTGCCTAACGATGCAATTATGCCTGCCCTTTTCAACGATTACATGCATGAAGATGTGATGAAAATTTCAGTAGAAAAGGAGTATAGAAGATATTCTTAGCTTTTTACATTGCTCTTCCCTGTCTAGGCTTTATCTGTACATCAAATCTTCAACACTCTCTTTTACTTACAATAATTTTTTTTAATAGTCTTTTGATTATGGGAGCAATAATTTTTATGGGTGTCCACCATGCGATGTACCTGGCTATCCAGGAATCCATGATCTATGAGCATGATGCTCTGGCTAGCAAAAATATTTTGAGATAGGAAAATTGGCAAAGGTACACAGGAGTGGATATTTAAACGGCAGATATCAGCTAGGGAAATAAAATATACATTGAGACTCAAGGGGGTACTCATTTGAAATATGACAGACCTGGTTGCCCCAGTGAGAACAAGAGAGACCAAATTGGGACTTGCTTGATTAGTGTAGAAACACTTCATTTTTTTGTGATTTGTAAACAATTTGCCCCTCATATCTGCAGGCATGCGTTGAATTCAATCGTGGGCACTATTCAGATTCATTGGAGCTCTACAAGGTTTGTATTTTCATCCCACTTTTTGCTAATGGAAAGAACACAAGAAAGCATATGTTCTCAACCTCTAGAATTTGTTATTTGTATTTGAATTGGTTGCGATTATGGCTCTTACCTAGCAGAAATTGGGTATTTTTTGTGAAGATACGGTTATAAACACTAATTACTGGTCTAATTTGTAATTTGTGAATTTGATAAAGAGGGCCCTGCAAGTACATCCTGATTGTCCTGCTGCTGTAAGGCTTGGCATAGGTCTCTGTCGTTACAAAATGGGTCAATTTGATAAAGCTCGGCAGGCCTTTGAACGGGTTCTACAGGCAAGTGATATCAGCCGATTAATGATGCATTAAAAGCAGGTGAAGGTGCTATTTGCATGCAATGGTTTTTACCAAAATGAATTTATAATTGCAGTTAGATCCAGAAAATGTTGAGGCTCTTGTTGCACTTGCAATTCTGGATTTGCATGCAAATACAGGTACGACTTTGCAAGTCAGCATTTTTATAGTATTCTTAACTCGTTACTGTTTGTTTACTTTGATTGTTATCATGGGCATGCTTCTCTGTTTCAACGAGCTGTCTAACATTCAGGCTATATTATACTTGATAGCTGCTGGAATAAGGAGAGGAATGGAAAAAATGCAGAGAGCTTTTGAGATTTACCCTTATTGTGCAATGGCCTTGAACTATTTGGCAAACCATTTTTTCTACACTGGTCAGCACTTTCTGGTTGAGCAGTTAACGGAAACTGCACTGGCTGTGACCAACCATGGACCGACAAAGTCACATTCGTACTACAACTTGGCGCGATCTTACCATAGCAAGGTTAGGAAAGAGTTATGCCTTTCCTTTTTAAACGAAAAGGTCTTTTTTTTAAACGAAAAGGTCTTTCTGTTTCTTGGTATTATTATGTTGATGGGGTTCTTTACATTTTCTATTTTGTGTCAGTTAAACATTTTGAGGCAGAAAAAAGTTTTTGCTATACAATGTCAATGCTTTTTTGGCAGCTTCTCTGTGTGTCTCTGTAGATGTGGTTGATTGTCCATTGATTAATTTAGGCCACATTTAATTCTACATGCTACTCTGCCTTCAAATGTGGTGTCTAGCTAAACAAATTTCTAAGGTGGCCCTATGATGAAATTGTCAGTAATTTTCGTTACTTGCTGCTGGAAATGAACACTTTCAAACAAGTGAAAATAAATTATTAGAAAGTCTTGTGGTCTCATCTGATTTAATGCAATCAAGGCCATTAATTTTGGCCATGTACTTAGGATTTTAAATGTTACAAATGTTTGTTGTTGCTGGATTGCAGGGTGACTATGATAAGGCTGGAGTGTACTACATGGCATCTGTTAAGGAAATCAGTAAACCCCATGAGTTCGTATTTCCTTATTATGGTCAGTAACCATCAACCATTAACAATCTTCTGTGCTTATAATTTTTCTGGAGAGTGATGTGTTGGCATAGTATTAGTAATGATTATGATGTATTTAACGTATCTTCTGCAAGACTTCAACATAATTTCTCTCTTTTTTTTGGCGGTCCACATCCTTTGTTGTCATTGTTTGCATTGGCATGCATTATTTCAACCTGGCCCATGTCATTGTCAACATATCCCAAAATCTGATTGTTGAAGCATGATTAATGTTTGTGTAATGCTGTTCGCTTTCACTTAGTTCTTTCATATATTTGGGCTCTTTGTGACAGGTTTGGGACAAGTACAACTGAAGATGGGAGATCTTAGAAGTGCACTGTCGAACTTTGAAAAGGTTTTGGAGGTTTATCCTGATAATAGCGACACATTGAAAGTGAGTTAATACCTGAAATGAAATATGTAAAATGATCCATTTGTTTTTATTTTTTGTACTTTTACCAATTTCCCCTTCTTGTAGGTCCTTGGGCACATATATGTTCAGCTTGGGCAGACTGAGAAGGCCTTGGAATTTATGAGGAAGGCCACAAAAGTGGACCCAAATGATTCCCAGGTAACCAATCCTCTCTATTAGTCTCTGATGTGTTCTGACCTTGTGGATTGTTTTCATTAGTAAGAATTGGTGTGTGTGAATCTGCTAACATAACAACTAATCCACAGTTCACTTTTCTGATACTTTCTTTTCTGTTTATTGTTGTGTTCCACTCTTACAGAAGTGTGTTTCCGTTTACTAAATAGGGTTGCATGCCAATTGGTTAGGGGTTTTCCTTGTATACACTGCTTACATCATTGCTTTAGTCTTTGTTGTTCTTCACACAGCAAGACTAAAGACAGTACATGATCAGTATAATGCTCTCTGGAACCCTTGTGTAAAGTGTGTCCTCATGCTGTTCTGTGGTCCTTCATCCTGTGCCCATACAAAAACAGGATAACCAAGATGTTAATAGTTGATATTTTATGTTTGTGACTTGAGTTGTTGTCTGGTGATTGTGAAGATGGCTTGAACTTTTACTATGTATGGCAAGCCATATCCTACCTTGAACTTATATTTCCACTATGTATGGCAATGCAGGCATTTCTTGACCTGGGGGAACTGTTGATTTCATCTGATGCTGGAGCTGCTCTGGATTGCCTAAAAACTGTATGTTAATTTGTCCTATATAGCAAAAAATTTCATCCTTATATTGAATAGAGCTCTTTAGTCCTTGGTTTCTGGAATCTAGTAATTTCCTTTAAAAAATAATAAGGCTGTGAATTATTACAGGCACATAATCTTTTGAAAAAGGAAGGTCAAGAAGTACCAATTGAAGTTCTTAACAATCTTGGGGTTCTCCATTTTGAGAGGGGAGAATTTGAGGTTTGTGCGCTCCAAGGATATGTTTGATGCAATTAAAATTATGTAGTATGGCA